AGTCGGCATCGTCAGTGAGTATCGCCATTGTTAGCATCATACAACAACTCGTCAAACAGACAAATGAAGCCGATCCTTTGACCAAACATGTGCTAAACAATTGTGGTATCTCCTCTTCTGCCTTGGGTTATTCGCGTTTCCGGTAGCATCCTATAATGCCTTCACTGTTACAATTTTCACCGGAAACGCGAATAACCCAGGGCAGAAGGTGAGATACCACAATTGTTTAGCACATGTTTGGTCAAAGGATCGGCTTCACTTGTCTCTTTGACGAGTTGTTGTGTGCTGCTAAGAATGGCGATACTTACTGACGATGCCGGCGAAACGTTTGGGAATGTACCACGTCCATGCAGACAATGGACTCCGGACAAGGTGCGTTCCTCTAAATCTTCCTACCAATATGAGCATATTGCGAAAACAAGGTCAAACAACCACTATTTTTCTATCTTCTTTATTTTAAATGATCTAGGCTGACTAAAGCTCTTATTCAAGGACTGCCGATAGTTATATAAATCCTACTTAAAGCGAACGTATATTTCTATTGATATTCATTTTCGTTTTCAATTGCTTTCATTAATTCACCGTCAGCCTCTCAACCACTTCTCAAAAGCCCGGTTTTCGAGAACTTGCTTTCCACTCCTGACAACTCTCAGAATCAATTTTCGAGCAGCTTTCTTGGCCTGCATTCTGTAAATGAAGTCGGCCCGGCTGTTCATACAGCAGCACCTATCACTTCCACGTCCATATCAACCACATTCAATTATGCAACCTCCATTCCGGCCGCCTCTTCAACTGACGAGCCGACCTCGCATCGAGCCAATGATGATATTTTCGCCGACATTCATTTTCCGGCCAGTCAACTGGCATTCACTGCTTCAGCACAGATCTGCTATCGTCAGTCAAGTCAGCCAACGCGGCAGACGCACTCGGAGTTCAACCAACAGCTGCGAAGTAGCTGGAATCCTCAACATGTTGGATCCCTGCCTGCCTCAGAAGCGGACAGTCTCCCAACAATGATACCTTTACAACTCTCCAGACGTCAGCCCGATTACGCAATTGGCGCTCACTCTGGCGTCAAATCAACTTCTCGCCACTCCACTTCAGCCCCAAGCGGTGCAGAGGAATTGCTGTCCCACCATCGGATGGCACGACCACGCACCTCCAGCGACGGCTCTATCATCCGCCAGAATTGTCTTCTCGAGTCACGGCATATTCGTCTGGCAGTCACCTCTTCAGTTGCACTATCCTCGACGACCTGCAAAGCGTCCATTTCTTCGACCACACCGCACTACCTTCCAATGCAATTCTGTGAGGCATTTCGGCCTCGAGCCCAGTCTTGTGTACACCGAGCTCCTCAGACCATCGGAACAGCTCCAACAGACGATGCTAGCTTGGAGAATGCTGCGCTTGCAATGGGCGATACAGCCAACATTGTCACTTCTGGCACGATGGCCAATCAATCAAAGGCTTCACCTCAGACTTCTCCTGAAAAGTTGGCAAGTTTGGCTCCGATCTTGACTTCTTTATCGTCTGTTCGCCCTTGCTGTTGTTTCTTGAAGCCTTCCAGCCGCATTCTCTCTCTCGGCCGGCCAGGCTCCTTGCCTCACTCGCATTGTTGCCATCTGAAAGCAGCACCAACGGCAATTGGACTTGACCAATTAGCTATGGAACCTCGACACTGTCAGCACCAGCATCTCGACAAGTCGGATTGCCACAGACCGAGGGATGCATCGAAATACAATCAACGAGCATCTGCACCATCTTCTTTGACCTTTCCAGTCTCATATTTTTCACGGGCCAGCCAGTCACTGGGTTTCACGTCAGTCTCAGCAACTGAAGGCGTCACGCCCACTCGATCCCCAGTGCATACTCAACTCTCGGCGGTCTGGAGTGACCCGGTTCAGGGTGCAGGCAAACGATCCGCTTGCCGATCGTCTTCTTCCTCACTTTTGCGAAGTGAAGAGAAACACTTGTTCCATGATGGAATCGAGACGATTAATGCCGTCTCCAGGCCGGTAGGGCACAACTCACGGCCGACCTCGTTCGGTTTTCGAATGCGTGCCGCCACTATTGCTTCTGCTCGGTTCTTCTGGAAGCCCCGATTTTCTGGTCGAGCCAGCCAATCAGATGGGCAAAACACTTGTAATGCTCATGTTGGTAGTGTGGTTGGGTCTGGTAGTCTGCGTGGCTCGTGGGCCGGTGTTGGTCTGGCTCGAGTATCACGCAAAAAATCGACTACATCTCGTCCCAATCAAACAGTTTTAGCAAATATCAACACAAACACCGGCTGGTTTCGAACTCGGCGGCCATCTCTGTCACTCGACAAGACCTGTCGCACAAATGACTATCCTGCTGTAGCCAGTCAGACTGGAAAGTCTGCTTCCTCGCTGCCCTCCGCAGCAACCGTAGCAGTACCATCCTCGGCATTTCTTCTAAACTCATTGTCAGGTTGTGGAAAAGTAGGCGCTTTGTTGTCGGGACAATTTTCGTCGTCATCATCAAACGCAGATGCCTCGATTGTAGCCTCTTCTTCCTGCCTTTGCATCACGGAGACTTCGGCTAAACTATCATCTCCATCCACCTCTTTCGTCTTCTCCTCTCCTGCTTCCAGCACTGTATTGGTGTCTTCCTTTTCTTCTCAATCCGCATCCTCTGCTGCTGGTCATGCAGCAACTCTAAGGACCTGCTCTGCTGTAGATACTCACAACGAATTGCTTTTATCTCTCAAATCCTATGTACCTCAACACAACAATCCTGTATCTCACCTACCACGGTCTCTCAACCAATCTAGTCCGGAGGAGTATCTCGATTTGTTTGCCGGCGGCCATTCTGACATTTCGAATCATGTCGATGCTACGCCATCTACGCTGCTTCGTGTGCAGGAGCCTTCCATTGCCAAAGCTCTTTTCAACCCTGCCGATCTCTATTCCATCCTGGTGCCCGCTAGTCAGGCTTCAGGGATCCTTTTGACAGCTGAAACAGGACCTGAAAAGCCCCAACAACGGTCAACTCTTCGACTCATTAACACTCCTTCTTGATCCGCCCATTTCTGCTGAGACTGTCACTTCTTTGCTGAAAAGGTTCTTCGTTTTAAACTAAGTGGGCGGATTTCAAAACTGTCATTGGATCTTGAATAAAAACTACAGTGAATCGAAATAGTCTGGCCTCGTTTCCGCAACTTGATCGTGTTGTTAAGGCGACCTAATTGGACGCTTCTTGCCCAAAGTCCTCTACTGTAGAAGTTATGGTAGATGCCAATGTTTTACCGAGAATTTGGTACATTTCCAGACGTTTCGCTGGCACCGCCAATGAGTCATGCCATTCTCAGCACCAAGTTACAACTCGTCAAAGAGACATATGCCGACGCAACGTCTGGGAATGTACCAAGTCTATGATCCAGCGCTGGGAATTATCATAGTTACTACAGCAAAGGACTTATGACATGATGCATCCAATTAGGTCGCCCTGACAACACGAGCAAGTAGCGAAAACGAAGTGAGACCACTTCTATACATCGAATGGAGACTGCGAGCAAAAGAGAAGCTGCATTTTGGTCTTCATATCCACGTTTAAACGAGTGATTCGTTTAGTTAATTTACTTCTATCTCTTTTCATTTTCCTCCCACCACAAGATTTTTTTCTTTCATCTTATCTTCCTAGACTTATATGCATAGGTTCACATTGAAATTTCCTTTGAGAGTTTGTATCCTATACATTTTCTCTATTCTGCCGCTGTCTCTCCAGATGTTGCGAATTAGCTTGTATTTCCTATTTTCCACTTGCATTATTGCATCATTTCCAAATCCTTGTTCCTTCCTATCCCTCTTGTGGCCCATCGCCTTTGCCAGTTTTCTGGCTTCCGTCTCTAAGACTGTTGATAACGCCAATCCTTGATATAATTTGAGAAAAATATATCAACCCTTAGGAAACTGAAATTAAGAGTTCACATTGGTTAGGTACATTTTTCTTTTCCCATCGGGTTATTTTGACTATTTAAAGATTCTGGCTGCGTCTATGCAGTCATGTTTAGACAAAACTGCCTCTTTTGCCTTTTAGGCTATTATTTCTTCCAGCAAAAAAATATTTGCCCCAATTTTAATCGAAATTAGGGGGTAGAGCCGAGATGATACACTTAACTTTGACGGGTTGTGATTCGTTGTTAGCCTTGGCTCTTCCTATCTGCCTCGTCAGCTTTTATTTGTTGACATGCGTATATTCATATTTCTAAACCCTTCTCTTATTTTCTTTATCTATTTCCCTGTATTCCGACTTTTATGAGTAAGCTAACCTTTTGCCTTGTTTATCGGCGGTTTATTCTCTTATCGTATTTTATATTTTTCTATGAGTTAATCCCTATTCTCATCAAATATACTCAGATTATATCCCTATCTTTCACATAAATATCATTAGCTTTTACGGAATCACCATATTTTATCACATTCGTGCTAGAATTGTTCCTATTCATTTACACTATTAAGTGATATTACTGTAAATCAAATAGAA